CCAAGTAAATTGAAGTCAGGACCTTGACGTGGCATCTGCTCCCCTGTGTGTATTGCAGCACTATTCACAATAGCCAGGGAAGCAGCCCAGATGTCCTTCCACAGACAGGTACGGAAATGTGTCATGTATACTATTCAACCCTTAAACAAAAGAAATCTTGTCATTTTCAACAGCACAAATGAACCTTTATGGAGAAAAACTGCTACAATTGCAGTAAGTTGTCAAACCTAAGCATTCACTGAATGAACTATGTACCCTGAGGAGAAACTTTCTAAGTCCTGTGCACCTCTGCCAACACTCCTGGGTGAGTGTGTGATAATGGCGATCTCCACGGTTGACTTGTATTTTCCTAACGGTTCGTGGTTTTGAACATCTTTTTATACAACTGTTGGTAATTTGTACATCTTTGGAGAAATGTCTATTAAAGTCCTTTGCCCATTAAAAAAAAAAAAGAAAATTACAGCCTGTAAGGAAATTTTTAAAAAGAAAGATGAAATTTTAGTGATTGCAAACACAACTTGCTCAGTCAGCAGTATTGCTTCTAGTAACGCTCGGAAGTTCCTAACACGTCTACTGAATTGCCTGCGTGCAGTGCAGCTGGTGGGTTATTTCAGCTTGTTTAATGCTTTTCCTTGAATATGTGACATTCAGCTAATTATATAACTAGATATCTGACTCAACCATACAGTAGTTAATTTAGTGGCCACGTGTGGACGTGCTATTGCTCTTTATTTCTCAGGGGAAAATTATATATATTCTCTTAGGAAGATGAAGAAGCTGGACTCCCAGAGCCAAGATGCACAGGACTGGGTGCTGTGCCCTCTGTCTGGCTCCTGTCAGTGCCTCGGTCACCACGTCCCAGGGAGACGGGTGGGCTGTGCTGGTCCCCAGGGCTCATCCCTCCATCTTCAGCTGCTATTCCATTTGGTACCACCCAAATTTAGCATTCTTAATCACATCAAATTTGGCTTTGTCTCCTTGTGCAACCTTATTTATGCTTCAGAAATGTTCTTATTCTATTACATTATTTTTGCTCTGAAGTGGGGGAGTATTCCTCTTTCAACGCTTTAATTAGTGGAGATCTTACTATTGCTTTAGGGATGACTGAGGCGTGACCACGGGATCAAGGGTGGGTGTGGCAAACACGGGGTCGGGCTGGGACTCCTGAATATGTGGTAAGAGAAAGTAACCAAAAACAGACAGCAATTAACTACATTTTTCCTGAAAAGATAATTCAACAGAATATAATTTTTACTCTCTTTAATTAGGTTGATTCTGGTTATTTTCACTATTGCAGAGAAGGTGTGTGGGTGTTATTTTTTTATGATGAGAATCCTCCAGAAGAAATTGCTGAGGAATTACAAAGGCAGAAAGATGTGTCTGAAGCCCCGTCCCCGACAGGACATGTTAATAGTGATGTTAGTAAATGTTCTCTCCCTGCACCTGAAGACCAAGTGTCTTTTTTAAGGATGTCCCAAATACACGTTTCCCTACAATATCCAAATTCATCTCATAATCAGCTAGGTTAGAATTTTAGGTTATTTTTAACGTTTGCATGGAGCACAGTTTAGGGGTTTAAAAATTGTCAGGTACTTCATCCTTTACAGCAAGACATCTGCCTGTCACATGTTCCTATGTAGCAAATCTTTTTTCAAGGCAGTCCTATTTCTGATATTCTTACCTTGTTGGGAATGATGATATCTTAATTAGTGTTACAATTCAAGTCTAGGTTCCAACAAGTACTCTTTCATGGAATATCATGGGTATAATTACATATATATTGGAAATATAATAATCTTTAAGCTGTATTTTCTGTTAGGTGTTAATATTTTTCTATTAGTAGTTTGCCCCAGATAACTTAGAATTTGAAATTAAAGATTGTTGTTGTGGCTAAGTGTGTCAGAGATCTAGTGAGTAATAAGGTATATTAATTAAAAGAGATAAAAAGGATATACAGGCCAGCATTTTAATAGCAGAACATATACTTTACTTTTTAATTAAAATTTCCCTTGAGAATTTAATTATTGTGACAGAATCCACAAGGGTTAGGGTTATGTAAGAAAGTTTCACAGTGCAGCTAAATCTGCTAACATGCAGAAAGAGAAACTCTGTTTATTTTCCCTTTTCTGGAATGACTGATAAAAAGAAAGAAAATGAGGGCACATGTGTGGTTTGGATGTGTGTTTTCATGAAGGTATAGAAAGAATAGTTTTAAATAAGTTTTCCCAATACAATAAACTCTTAATTGTTAAAAATCTAAATTTTCATTTGTCCACTGATGGAAACTTGCCTTTTTTAAGGAAGCTAAAAGTAGATTTCATTTTTATTTGTGAATTTTTCTATTTTTTAAAATTTCAAAACGTAAATGTTTTTGTGACGTGGGTCACTTTTACGAGGCTTCAGTCCGGGCCTTTCGTGTGCCTGACAACAGAACGTGTTCTCTGTAGGGGCTAGTGAGTTTTCATCGCGTTCCCTGCTCACATGTCTCCTTTCTTTGTTTCCAGTGTTCTTTACAACTTCCGTGTGTCTCTTATTTAGCCTCCAATTATGGGTGAGTACAGGTGGTGTTTGTTTTTCCATTCCTGAGATGTTTCATGTTGAATAATGTTCTCCAGTTCCAATCAAGTAGCTGTGAAAGACGTTATTCCATTTGTTTGTAAGGCTGAATAATACTGCACGTGTGCGTGCGTGTGTGAGTTCTTTCTCTCTCTCTCTGTATATATATGCACAAGTGTACACATGTACACACATATACACATATACACACATATACACATATATACACACATATATACACACATATACCCATATATACACACATATACATGTTAATAGTAATGTCAATAAAAGTTCTCTCATTTATTTCATATACACACACATATATCACATTTCCTTTCTCCGTTCATGACTTGAAGGGCATCTAGATTGGTTCCACATCTTTGCGATGGTGAGTTTGGCTGCAGTGAACATCTGCATACAAATGTTCTTTGTTTTTGTTTGTTGGTTTGTTTCCTCGGCTTCATTTATTCCCGGATTGCTGGATCAGATGGTGGGTCCATGCTCACTTCTCTGCGGAGTCTCCCCACTGCTTGCCTGGGGCGGGACTGGCCTTCAGTCCCATGGCTGGTGGGAGAGCGCCCCCTTCTCTGCATCCACACTCCCATCTCCTACGGTCCTTTGCCTTTCTAGTAATGGTCATTCTGCTGGAGTAAGTAGGAGCGGCCTTGAGGTTGTAGTTTGTTTTCCCTGAGGATCAGTGATGCTGGGCCTTTTCCCATGTAGTTCTGTGCCTTCTTCTCAATAATCTGTTCATTTCCTCTGGCCACTTTTTCGTGGGATTATTTGGATTTTTCTTGCAGATTTGTTTGAGTTGTTTGTAAACTTGGGGTACTAGACCTTTATCACAGGTACAGTTTGTGAACATTTTCTCTCAGTCTGTAGCTTGTCTACTCTGTTGATTATCTCCTTTGTTGTGCAGATGCTATTTAATTGAATTTATTCACATTTATTAATTTTTTTGCTTTATTTGCTTTTGAAGTATTGTTCATAAATTCTTCACCCAAGACCAATATCCAGAAGAGCTTTTCTTAAGTTTTATCTTGTAATTTTTATGTTTCAGCCCATAGACTTAAGGCTTTTATCCATCTTGGATGAATTTCTGTATGTGGAGAGACCTCGGGTCCGGTGCCCCTCTCCTGCGGCGCTGTCCCTCTTCCCAGCACCAGTTATTGAGTGGGGCCTCCATTTCTCAGTGGTGCTGCTGTCTGCTTCCTCACAGTCTGTTACTTGTGCGTAGATGGTTCTGTTTCTGGGTTCTGTGTTCTGTTCCATTGGTTTGCTCCCTAACAGAACCAGGGGTCTTGGTGACTACAGCATTACAGCATAGTTGAGTTCAGCTGAAGTGAAGCCCCAGCTCTGTTCTTGTTTGAGATTGCTTTGGCTCTTTATTGTTTCTAAACAAAGCTTAGAATTGTGTTTTCTAGCTCTGTGAAATATGAAATTGGTATTTTGATGAAGATAGCATTAAGTTTGTAAATCATTTTAGGTGGTATGGGTATTTTAACTATGTTGATTCTACTAATCTATGAGCATGGGGTAAACTATCTTTTAAACTGAGTCTACAAAGATCAGTGCAATAAAATAAAACCAGCATTACAGATAGGTTAGAGACAAATTCAAATGCTTTCTAAAGCGTTCTTATCAGAAGGGATTCAGGTTACATGAACCAAGTCAGGCCAGGTTCTTGTGAAGGTCCTTCGGCTCCACTGGAAGAAAGGAGACGTCATGTGCTCCCCTTCCCGGCATAAGCATTTCCCAGCAATGCAGGTGGCCCACCAGAAAGGCAAGTGTTTAGTGGGTGTCCTCAAAAGAAACGGAAAGGGTGATATTTGACCTTGCAGTAAGAGACTTTCTGCATTATTTAAAATCTTTGGAAGTCATATTAAACGTCTTTGTTTTTCTAATTTTTCTTCCACATTTTGGCCTATAGGAGAAAATTGTGTAGATGTTTCTGAAAAAGTATAATTCTTACCTAACCTCAGAGTCCAGAAAAGTCCCCTTTACTTATGTTTATAAACTAGTTGAAATAACTTACGCTTGACAAATGGTGCCAACTGAAATACTGAGTCCCGTGTGTTCCCATCACAATCAGCAGCATGTGACTGGCACTGTCCACTGTACAGCAGTAGAGTTCTTGTGAGTCTACCATCATAAATGCATCACGTGGTTTTATAAAGATAACAGCAAAGAGTGTTCTTACATGATGGGTAGAATCGATATTTGACAATTTGATCTTAGACTTGGACAGCAAATCCTATTGAAAGCAATGTTCCTGTGTATGTGGTGAGCCAATGAAAATATGATTTTAATTTAAAAATTACCTTTTTTTTTGACCTGGTTTAAAGAATGCTCACTCATTCCCCATTTTTCTCACGTACACCATTTTATGGGTGAATGTTTTATATTTATTTTTCATTTGTCTGTTATTTTTCCCTCGTCAGGTGTAATCTTGCTCCCGTGGTAGAGTTTGCTGCGGACGTGGGAACTAAATCAGATTTTATTACCATGAATCCATCGGTGGTACAAAGAGCATTTGGAGGCTTTCGAAATGAGAGTGACAGAGAAAAATTTGTGCACAGACTTTCGATGCTGAATGACAGCGTCCTCTGGATTCCTGCATTCATGGTCAAGGGTGGCGAGAAGCACGTGGAGTGGGTCAACACACTGATCCTCAAGAACAGACTGCAGGTGCGCACCGCCTACCCGTCCCTGAGGCTCATCCACGCGGTCAGAGGGTAAGTGCTGGCAGGGCCAGGCTGTCCTCCACACAGGCGTCGTGCAAGTAAACATCTCCCTACCCAGGAAGGAACCTAGATAAAATCTGCAAACGGATGTCCAACTCCAAATGAACATGTGTCTCTACTGTTTTGTAAGTTTACCCTATTCACAAACCTGAATTTAGAGTACGTACCATATTGTTTTAACCCCTTCTCCTTGGAAAAGTGAATTGTTGAACTTGGCATTTATATATGTCTGCTCATGAGCACACATTTTATGGTAAAGAGCTGTAAGAATTCAAAAAAAAAAAATGGATGAGTTTGGGGTAAGAAAACTACCACAGAAATGCTAAATGACCAGTGGGCAATACTGTATGAGCCTAAGTGCTAGACATAGTTAAGGAGCAATGAAGTTGCATCCATACCCAAGAAGCTTGCTGGTGCAAGAGAAACTGTCCAGGTCAGTGCCTGGCTGCTTCTGCCAAGGTCACAGATGCTGAGCTTTTTTCATGCTTTTACATTTTTTATTTTGTTATTTTATTTTATTTTTTTATTTTTAAGTCAATCTTTACCTGGTATTGAAGCAAGCAAGCTCTGAATAAAAAGTGTAAGAAGTAAACTCGTGCTTCAATGTGAGGGATGACCAACAGGCAACATTTGTTTATGCACATAAGTGAGTGCAAAATAGATAACTTTCAGAGAAGCAAATATGTGTATCTGTAAAACGCGTACTGAGTGCCTGATACTGTAGACAAAGAAAATAGAGAGATGATCACACCTTTAAAAATGCACAGGCTTCATGGTGAAAACAAAGGGTTATTGAATTCATCAGTGGCCTGACAGAGCAGCTGTGGACAGGAGTGTGTAATTTGTCCCTCAGGTTCACAAAGAATCTTGGAAAATGGATCTGACATTTGAACTGGGCTTTAAAACATAATAGCAATTGTCAGGGAGAAAAATACCAAAAAGAGAATAAGAAACCCAAACAGGAGGAAAGGCTATTGCATCATTAAAGGAAAATGGAACAAGGAAATGACTAAGCACACAGCATGAGAACAGATTTGGGAGTCCACTGTGGACGGGAGGCTGCACAGTTGGAGAAGCATCTTGGGATCCGGCTGGGAAGGGAATCAGTCTCGTCCGGTCTAAAGTTCAGTTTGACGTCTGAATTTGAGATAAACCTGTGTGCAGGTACTTTTCTAACAAGGACAAAGAATGTGCTAGCGACAAAAAAAAAAAAAAAAAAAAAAAATAGGCTTTGATTAATTTACTCCTAAGAAGACCATAAAGGTTTGGGAAGGGTGGTGGACGTGGATAGGAAGGGCAGGTTCAGGGGATGGGCAGAGAGGAGTCCTACAAAAAGTGTCCAAGCTCGGAGTTAAATATAGTTTGTTTCATATACTGTGATAGGCTTGACTACGATGTTTGTATTCTGTTTTGTTTTGTTATTAGACAAAAGTCACCATTTCCTGTTTAAACCTCTGGGCAGTATCTTGATTATCCTGCACACGTTTCAATTGCATCCTTCCAGTTAGATCAAGGCTCATCAACACTAATCCCCTCGGTGTTTGACGAGAAGTTTCAACAAAATAAGATAAAAATACACAAATTTGGAGAAGAGGTAACTGGCAGATTTTTAAGTTAAAAATATTCCCAATAATTTCAATTTGGCTCTTTAAAAGAGATACATTGTGAGAGTTAATTTTACAGTGAATTAGGTTAAGAACTCACCCTTTTAGTGTTAAGGATAACCTGATTATGAAAACACCGTAGAGACCGTTTCCCATCCTGTACACATATACACAGGCACACACACACTCTCTCTAGTTACTCTAGTAATAGCTGATTAAGACTAAAAAGGGATAAAATCAAACTCTGAAGTAACTACTCCCTGACATTGGGAAACTAAAGAAGAAATTTACAATTATTCTGAATTAAATCATTTGTTTCCCAGATTTGGGGTTATATTTTTTAATTCACTACCAGAAGCAAACGTGAATTAAAAGGCGTGGTTGAAATAGCTTGTCTTCCTCAATGAAGAATCCAGGTAGAGCTACATACAACGAATAATAGTGACTTATACAAATAATTTAAATGTAAAATTACATATCCTTTTAGCAATTTAATAAGACTCTTTTTAACATTTTACAATTCACGTTTTTACAGCCATAATAAACATAAAAAATACTTCACTAGTTCCTAAGTATTTTATTCCAAAGGGAAATGACCTTTGATGAAAGGCAGGACATGTTTTGTTTGGACGACTGTGCCGTAGGTGTTTCTGAACAGACAGATTTGGAATGCTCTGGAAAGAACTCTTCTCGGGGCCTTCCTTCTCTACATCTGCACGTCTCTCTTGAAAGTGTCAAGGAACTGTGGCCACAGACATAAAAGTCGCTCTGGAGTAGCCTGTCGCTTTTCAAATGGGATGGAAATTCCCACACAAATTGCTCATTAAGGGCCGTGTTTAGAGTGAAGTTAGTGCAGTGAGCGCATCACTGCATTTGAATACAGCACAGACTCTACAGCTACCAGGCTCTAACAGAAAACAAGGAAGTGTGAGCTGTGATGAAACACTCATGATTTATACCACATGAAAGGGAGACTCTCCCCAGGACCCGGCTCTGCGTGTCTGTCTGACATCTGCCTGACTTCTCTCTCTGAAACCCGATTAGCAAAATAGTTTAAAGTTTCATTTCTTCTATTGATTACCGGACTCTGTTGACTCTTGTGAAAGGTTAAAGCACATATTTTTAGAGTGGGTATAATTATGGTGGTAAAATGCAAAGTCCCTTCTAAAAACCACAATTCTACATGGAAAGTTTAAGTGATTTGGAAAGCAATATTCTTGAACACAATGAACATCAGTTAGGTAGTTTTCATATAGTCAGGATTTATTATTTAAAATTATTTTTCTTCTCTGAAAATTATGATACCTTACTAACTTGACACTCCCATTTAATTTTAGGTTTTTTTTTTTTTTTAAGTTCTAAAAATGAAACTATGCATCACAAACCTGAGGACATTTTTACATTATGTTTTACTGCATGGTCATTCTTCAAAAACATACTAATTAAACCAAAAGAAAAAAATACATAGGTAGCTTCATAATGCTTTTTTAAATCTTGCAAAGCAGTGAAAGGCTCAGGGAATGGGGACGGATAAAACACACAGTTACAAGTTTAAGACAATGTAAGAATACATTGAGCAGCTGGGAATTGGGACCTTTTTATTGATATTTCTTTAGAAGCCCCACATGGTCTAGAATTTTTGAATAAATACTGTTCTACATACTAAAATAATGAACATACAACTTAAAATCTCCTTGAAAGAACTATTTAACCTACTAACATTTTTTATATAATGCTGTATTTTAAGTTATTATGCAAAACATCTCAAAAGATATTTTATAAAATATTTCAAGTTAGGCAAAAAATCCTATTCTGTAATTATTTTAACTCGATTCGTAATTGCCAAGTGAGGTTTTTTCTTTGTTAAGAGAATTATGCTTTATCTTCTTATTTTTAACATCGCGAAAAAAATCAAACATTGCCGTTGTTCACTACCTCAGTGATCCTCAGTTTCACTACCAAATTTCTTAAGAAATTTTTCATGAAATAGATTTATAGGTATAGAAGCATATTTTAAAATATATATTTTATATGCATAAACATAAATATATAATTGTAAAAGGAGCTGTACAAGTGGAATCATACGCATGTGCTCTTTCTCACCCCGTTCTATAAATTATCTTGTTATTTTCCCATCAACACATATAAATACAGCTCATTCCTTTTTCAATGGGAAAGTATGTTTATATCCCACTGTAGACTCTAATGTACAGAAGATGATGGACATTTATGTGTTTGTGATTGGTATTAATCCGTTTATTTTTTTTTTTTTGGATCGTAAGGTATTTATGACGGTACACTTTGGGAATATAGTGAATATAAAATTTAGATCACAACATGGTGTAATTTTCAATCCTCTCAAAAGTCAGCACAGCTCTCAATCCTCCGCAGATGTAAAACCGATGGTGAGACTCAAAAAAAGCAATTTGACTAGTACAGAAGTGGGTTTTCATAAACGTTGACAACTACAGCATCTGAATACTTTTTCTTTTTTTGAGACACTGTGTTGCTCTCAGTAGAGTCCTGTGGCATCACAGCTCACAGTAACCTCCAACTCCTGTGCTTCAGTGATTCTCTTGCCTCAACCCCCCCCACCCCCCAGTAGCTGGGACTACAGGTGCCTGCCACAACGCCTGGCTATTTTTGGTTGCAGTATGGCCGGGGTGCAGTATGGCCGGGGTGGGTATTTGCACTTAAAATAAATAGTCAAGGGCAACTCCTAGGGCTCAGTGGGTAGGATGCCATCTTCCTTCCCACCACCCTTGGTATAGGAAGATGGCACCCTACCCACTGAGCCATAGGAGCTGCCCTTGACTATTTATTTTAAATGCAAATCCACACCCACCACATTACACTAGTGCTGCATCAAGGCATTCATTCCTTCTCATTTGTTTTGTTTTATGTGGTTCTGTTGTGTTAGAAGAAATTTTTTAAATGATGGAAAGGAGAGGTGGTCAAGATAAAGTCAGTATACAATTCTGATCTTTGTGAATATGTCGTATATACAAGTAATATGTTTTAAAATAGGGAATTAATATATACTAAGAGTAATACTTCTAAATGAATAGTGATACATATTTTTATGTTCCCATTTTGATTACAATATCTACATTTAGAGCATTTTTTCTTTCTTGTTCACAAAGAAGGGGAATTTTAATAAACAGAGGCACCTATACAGGGTGGTCATGAAGTTCCTGTGGACTTTAAAATAGCTACATGTTGTATACTATTAATATGTATACCATTATATACTGAACGTATGTTAAAATATTGAATATACTATTCATTAATTATAAGGTATATAATATACAGATCTGTAATATACAAATAATTATATAATATGTACTATAATATAGTATACTTTTTTATTAAATCATAGTTGTGTAC